CTTTAGTAATAGTAAATAAAGGGTATATTAATTAAAGTATTATTATGCTTATTAAATATAATAGCTTATTAAATATAGTAATTAAACGAGGCTAAGAATATAAAAAAAATAGAGCGCGCCCTTAATAATATTAATATTACCTTAGTAAAGAGGGCTAGGTAATAAAAACTATACTTAGTAATAATATAAATAAATATTACTTTTATTAGTACTCTCGCTTTTAAAAAGAACTTTAAGTAAAATAATATTAAAATAAGCTCTATATTACTTTATAAACTTAATTATATTATAAAAAATAAAAAAAAAGAGGTAGACCTCTTATTTAATAATAACTAAGTTACTTATAACTTTATAATAATAAACTTATTAAAGTATTTATAGCCTTAGACTAACGTTTTTAATAAACTAGTTAGTAATATACTAATATTTTATAAGCTATATAATTATAAAATCGAGCTCTTAAATAATAATAAAAAGAAGCTAACTTACTACCCTCTATATAAGTAGTTAGTACCTAAGCTAAAGGCTATAAAAGCCTATTTATTAAAGTACTTATAAAAAGGATTTATTAAGCTAAATAATACTCTTTTTACGTTACTAACGCTATTTATAAAAAAGTATAATAATAGTTTACGCTTTTATATTAACTTTTATAAGCTTAATAAAATTATAAAAAAAAATTATTACTTATTACTATTTATTAATAAAACTTTTATATAGCTAAGTAAGATAAAAGTATTTACTAAACTAAATATTAAATAGGCTTTTTATTATATTTACCTCGACCTAGCCTCTAAGGATTTAATAACGTTTAGAACTTATTATAGAGTATATAAATATAAAGTAATACTTTTTAAGCTTTATAACGGGCCTATTACGTATTAATAATATATAAATAGAATATTAATAAAATATTCAAATAATTTCTATATAGTATATATAAATAATATTTTAATTTTTTTTAATAACTCCCTCTAATACTAAGAGTATATTATTAAAGTACTAAACCGTTTATAAAAAATAGGCTTATAAATAGATATTAAAAAGTACGAATTTAGTATTATTTTTATAAAATACCTAGGCTTTATAGGTTTTATAAAAAGTATATAGTTTAATAAAAAGAAAGTTTTTATAATTAAAAATTAGAAACTATTTATATTATTTAAAAGTATCTAGTCCTTCCTTAGGTTCTATAACTTTTATAAGAGATTTATAAAGGATTATAATTACTTAGTTAAGCCCCTTATAAAATTAATAAATAAGGGAGTTCTTTTTAACTTTAATATTAACTATAAAACGGCCTTTAAGGCTATAAAACTAGTATTAATATTAATATTAATCCTCTATTACTTTAGGTTAGAACTACTAATATAATTAAAAACTAATATTTCTAACTTAGTATATACTAAAATATTATTATAATAATAAGAAGATAATAAGTTATAATACTTAATAGCCTTTTATTTAAAAATAATAAGTAGTATAAAGCTTAACTATACTATTTATAATAAAGAAATATTAATAATAATATTATATTTAAAAAAATAGTACGCAAAGCTTATAAGTTATAAATATAAGTTTAACGTTATTATAAACTATTAATTATTACTATTTTTTATAATTAAGTACTTATTTAACTTATAATAAGCCCGCTAAGCTAGTATATTAATAAACTTTAATTTTTAAATTTATTACTATTTAAGAAAAAAGAACGTACTAACTAATACCCTATTATAAAAAATAAAGGATATTTATACTTAATATGTATTAAAAAAAGAAAAAAAAAAAAAAAAGATCCGTGGTTGTGAACTTTGCAGGAGGGAAAGTTGAGGAAAATCCAAAAGAAATAGTCTAGCGAGACAGTGTGAGTATCCACTGATACTGTGTATTAATACCGTGTAAATGACATCGAGAATCGCCCGAGCAGCTAGTAAAGGCAGAATATAAAAATAAATAAATAAATATATTAAAAAAGGCTAATAAGACCTAAGTCCTCTTATTATTAAAACTACTATTTTTTAATATTATAATAAAGCTATATGTATTATTAAGTATTATAATTAGTTAATTATAATTTATAATTAGCTCGCTTTTATTAAAAAACGAGCTCTAGGGGTACTTATTAATAAAAAAGATTTTAAAACTTAATAAAAACCTTATTATAATATCCTTTATATTAATATAAATACTAATAATTAAAGGGTACGAGCGCTAGTTTATTTAAAATAATAGATTATTAATAATAAATAAGAAGCTCGTAATACTTAAAAAAAAGAACTTTTATATTATAATTATTTATAAAGTCTATAAATAAAAGCTCTTTACTTACTTAGGGCGTAATAAAGTTATAAAAATAATTAAATAGTAATATTATTAGCTAGGCTTAATAATAAATACTTATTAATATATATAAAATTATTATACTTATTACTAATTATAAAAACTATATAATAAGCTCTTAAAAGAGCTAAGGCTATTTTTAATACCTAACTACTTATAATAGTATATTTTTATTAACTTTATAATTATCCTTACTAATTAAAAAAGATTTAATAATATTTAAATAGTAATAAACTACCTAAATAAGAGGGTAATATTTATTCCTTATTATAAAACTATTATAATAAAAAATATAAACTAAATATTCTATAAACGGGTATTACTTATTTTTAGTTTATTAAAGATTATTATATTAAACCGAGGCCCCTAATTTATTTCTAATTTTTAAAAGAAGCTCTATAAAATTTATAAAATTAAGTTATAGTTATTAACGGCTAACTACTTCTAAATAAATAGCTAAATAGAGGTACTAAACTAGTATATCTTATAGTAATTAAAATTATTAATTAACTAATACTAAAATAATTAAAATAATATACTACCCGTAGTTAACTTTACTTATATTACTTAGCTTAATAAGACTATAAAGTTATTATTATATAAAGTAGAATTTAGTTATTAACTACGGCTCTTTTTTAATTAGTCTAAACGAACTTACTAATTTAGCTCTATAAAAAAAAAGCTAAACTATATTAATATATAATATATAGCTTAGAGGATATATAAAGCCTAAGAGACTACTAAAGGTAATATAAAAGTTACTTAGGTATAATATAAGAAGTATATTAACTATTACTAGTACTTAAATAATTTAAAACTAAGAAACTAGGTCTTTATTAATACCTCGTATTAGAAATTCGCTAATATAAATAAATTATAATAACTATAAGCCGGGCTACAGCTTATTATTAATACTAAATAAGGGGGTATATAAATTATAAAACTATTAATAAGTAGCTAGGTATACTTAGTTTTTTACTTAAATAAGCTAAAAAAAGTTATTAACGACTTACTACTTAAGTAGAACTAAGACCTATTATTACTAATTATTAATAATAATAATAAATTAAAATACGAGGTCTTAGAGGTTATTAAATTATACTTATATAAGGGAAAACTATAGTACTAAGTAAATTAAAAAGGGTATAATACGGATCTAATTTAATATAATATAAAGAGCTTTTAGTATATATTAATAGCGCTTTAAGCGTTTTATTATTAGTACTTAATTACTAAGGGCCCGCTACGGAATTTAAATATATAAATAGAAGCTATTATAATTAATAATTTATTATTACTAAAGAATAATAATAATATAATAGTAGTAATTATAACTATAGATTTAGTAAATTAAGAGGTAATTTAAAAGTTTATTTTTTAGTACTATAAATAGTACCCTTTAGTATAGAGGGGGGGATAATATTATAATAATAAATACTAAGGCCCTATAAGCCCTATAGTTTAGCTTTAAGCTACGAAACTAAGCTTTTAATAATTACGTAACGAGCTAGATTACTAAGCCTAAAGGGCTAGCTTACTAATTTTTACTTATTATTTTATTTTTTCTCTTTTTATATTAAGTCTTTAGTTAATTAGGTTAATATAATAGCGTTTTAACTTACCTCGAGATCCCTTTTATAATAAATAACCGGGCCTTAATAAGTAAATAAAAAGTTATAAAGGGAGGTAATAATTTAAAAAGGCTCGTTAATATTATTACCTATCTAAACTTTTAATAAACTATATAATACGTATATAAAAAGTATTATAAAAATTATATAAAACTTATTATTATTTTTAAATATATTAAATATTTATATTTAAAATAAAATTAATAAACGATTTAACGGTATAAGCGCGCGCGCATAATAAATAAGGGTATTTATAATAACTATAAAAAGTTAAAAAAAAAATAATAATAGCTAGGTAATATTATAAGAATTTAGATATATATAAAGTAGCTAAGTAGCCTTATTCTTAGTAATTTATATATTAAAAATAGTATAATACGTACTATTTTAGGTTAGGATTTTATTTATTTTAAATAAAAGGATATATTTATAATAAACGCGGTTTAAAAAACGCGTATCCCTTATACTTATTTTTCTTTTATTTATATTTAACTAAATTAGGCTTTTATAAAAGTATTTAGAAATTTTATTTTAAATATAATAGCTCCTTAGTAATAATAATTAGGGGGTATATTACGTAATAAGGATAGTAATTATGCTTTACGAAGTGCTTATTACGTACTAAATTACGTATCTATTTTAAATATTATATATATAGACCTTTTCTTTTTATTTATTTCTACTTTAATAGTTAAGCTACTTTTATTATACTCCGTATGCCTATTGCTGCGTGCTATAACTCGTGACATAATGCATGTTCCGCAGTTATCATTTCCCGGCTAACTCTAGCGGTGGGCAAAGAAGACATTTTTTGAGTTCACACATGGTGTCAATCACTAAGTACATTTTGACTTGCGTTGGATCCAATTCACAAGTACGTAAAAATCAATCATCAGTTTGGCATTTCCTTCGTAACTACCTGGCTCATACGGCTGGTCTTGCAGACTATTGCTCAGAAGCTTGCTCGTCTCTACCGACGGCATGGGTCTTTGATGTACACAACACAGAACTCCTCACCCCTGCAGCGCTCTAACCCTTGAAGGGCGTCTCATATGGCCGCTCAGCCTGTGGTGTGATTCTAGCCAAGTGCCTTCTTGAACCGTTGTTCCAGTCAATGAGAGCTGAATGCTGGGTGACGCGGTTATCCCAAACAACTACAGTGCCCTCCTCCCACTTCACGCGGGCATGGAAGTCAGCGCCCCAAGCAATGTGTTCGTATAGGAACTTGAGCAGAGCATCGGACTCTTCCTTCTTGAGGCCAACGATCTCGCGCGTGACTAAGATGATGATCAGTATTCAAGTGGAGATGGTGTGGGATGTTCAAACTCACATTGAGGGTTGATGAACAAAGCCTTCTCGCCGGTGACAGGGTGTGTGCGGACGATAGGGTGAGTGTTTGCAACAGGCTCGCGACGCTTGATGCTACCCTTCTTGACAGAAGCAGCAACCTGCTCAATACCAGAGTGGACAGCCTGAAGGCCGTGAAGTCTCTCCTGGAAGAGCGGGCTCAGTCTGTTATAAGCCTCAGCGGCATTGCAGAACAGAGTATCACCTCCTGTCTCAGGCTTGTCGAGGATGTAGAGGAAAGTTGTGCCAGGGGGCTGCTGCTCGTATGAGACATCGGAGTGCCACGCGATAGAGCTGGTTCTGGTGGCGAAGAACTTCTCTGCTGACCTGTCACCTGCGGCACGGTGGACAAGATGGACTTCGGGGAAGTTCTCAGGGGATCCTGAGGTCGGGTGAATGTGGTGACGACCAAAGTAACCGCCGAACTCGAGGGCCTTGTCGATAGGAAGATCGGCGAAGTCCTGTGCGCGGAAAGCGACGACCTTACGCTCGGCGACGAAGCGAGCGAGTTGATCACGGCCAGCGTTGCTGAGTGTGCTAAGTTGAACGCCTCTGACTTCTGTGCCGATTGAGGGTGTGAGGTCGGTTACTTGTGCGTCCTTGGGAAGAAGATCGGGATAGCTAGGGTCTGCGTCTCTGCCGTGCTCGACATGCTGGAAAGGCTGCAGGGGAGGGTATTGTTGTTCGGGGTTCCACGTGGGTAGGTAGTGAGGGTACTACATTAATAAAGTCAGTCTTTCTTCTTCTAATCAAGCATGATTTGTTGGGCTCTTGAGGCGGTACTGACCTTCGCGCCCTGGTGACCATCGCCTCCCTTGGCTTCAGTGTCCTTGTCGTAGGTTGTGGGTGAGAGCTCCTTGTAATCCCCGGAGCCGTCGGCGTACAGGCGGAGGTTGTTGACTGGGAGGTTGGCCGGGTCGGTCACAGTCGCTGTCGCGGTTGATGAAGGGGCCATTGTAAATTAGTATATTGCCACTGATGCTTTTCTCCTTTCTTAACGTTGAATCAAGGATGGATTATCACGTCTAGGATCAAAGACTCGAAGTGGTGTCCGTGAGCTTATATAGACTACCCCTCCAAAACGTCGTCTATGTCGGAGTATATCCGATGAGGGGCAATCGTCCCAACTATTGCATACTGACAAGGATTCGATTGCGTTGCCTTTCGGACTTTTAACAAGACATAGCCAAGTAGTACCAGCCGATGCGGTACCGACTGATGGGTTCATGGAACATTGTAATGTTATTGGCGTTCAGTACCTCCTGAGACGAAAGGATGGAGGAGTCGGGTCTGTTGAATGGGGGGAAATGACGCCATTCATATCTAACAAGACCGATCTTATGGTGGGATGACTACCAAAGAGACCATCAGAAATGGCTTTGATTAGCAATGGTGGTTGCAATGTTGCTATCCTGGGCGTTGAGCACGCAATCTGTTGATGCGACTCAGTGTGTGTTTGGTGACCCCGCAATTTGGGCGGTGCCGGCTTGTACTATGGTCATCACAAGGAGAATCAATAGCATCTGTGAAGGAGTTCAGCCCGATGATTTTCGACACAGGGAGAGTCAACGAGAGCCTGAGAAATGAAACAGCTTCAGTCGAGTTGTGACGAAGAACTTGTAGGAGCAACGGAGGTTGAGTACAATTAAGTAGGTAGTGCCATATTAGCTCCGTGGACGAAGACCGTTCATTGTGGGGCGGGCGGTTAAGTCCCCTTGCCTTTTGTCGCACGGCGCAGACCTGGAAGTCGGTCGGCACTCGGATACGCTTCCATATTGAGAAGTTGATGGTGATTTGCTGCCTGCAGTATTCCCGGCATCGTTGGGCCCCGGAATCGGATGGCTTTTCGGGGATTATTTCGGAGGTTAACCGGTATCGGCCGGCAAACTCCCGGTTTCCACCGTTTGGATCGAGCACCTCATTTTTTATCTTAAGAATTGTACGCATATCTTCTTCTGATTCAGATACAGTAATCGAGTATGGTGGTCGATCTTCTAAATTGGTATTTGATATAACCGTAATGAACGGAGGCTGGTAATCTAGTCCCAACAGCGTGAAGGCTTTCGCACATCAGAAAGATAAATCTCTAGTCAACACCTCTGGACTTCATGTGAGGTCATTCTAACACTTAACTTGTGAACAACCACTGAGAGTTGTTGTGGCAGCTCGGCGGACAATGACTGTTACTTAAATACCTGAGGAGCATGAGCATTCCTTCCAAGTCTGCTAGCCGTATGACACAGCATGAGAAAGATTTCATATCGTATCAGCTTTGAACCGTGCCGAGTACAAATATTTACCCAAGACCAGCAGCTAGAAAATACGGGATAATGGGCCATGACTTAGAAATGTGAGGTCAGACAGTTCATCAAGCGTGCCTGGCATAATGGAGTTTTGATGTAGTAGAGTAGTAGAGAACTGCTTAGTGAATACTCTGTTCATCGCCCCACCTGTGCTCTTCAGCCCAGGCAAGCAGGGCGTCATAATCATAGCACTGATGTTGGTAGCCCCATCCCAGGCTTCCAGAGAGCTCATCTGACACCTGCCACTCGATAGTGGTGTCAGCACGACACTGGATGGCTTGTCTGACAAAGTCCCAGCAATGACCAAGATGTCCAAGGTCGATCTCAGTCGAATTGCCATCGCGCAGTAACCGAAAGAAGGCCTCCCGAGTAGCCCACTGTTGAAGTTGTCGTTTTCTCAGCATCTTTAATGGAAAGCGATTGCCTTCTCGGCAGATACTTTAATTGTAGAGGATGCTGAAAACTTACCACGCAATGGAGCTGGTGGAAGACCGATATTACTCCCTTGTACTCACTCATGGTCGCATTGAACTTTGGCATCTCAGGAACAGCCGTCTCATTCTTGATGATAACAAACCCGCGGCCGTCTGGCGTACATGTCAGATCTTTCGATTCAGAACCAGGTGTCGGGAACATACGCGGCATCAATGCATCCCAAGCCTCCTTGCTCTCATTCGTAATCGGGCCTCCATATATCGGTTCGGAGTTGAGCGTCTTCTTCATCGGTACTGTAGCACAGCTAGTATTAGAAAATGTCTGTGTTTCTGATTTTTACCATTCCTTGAAATAGCAAGAAAGGGAACTGAGCTATTTCGTTACTTTGTGGTGGAAGCCACGAGGGCCCGGAGGTTGCAACGGTGTGTGGTGCAGTTTCTGGTGCAGGTTGGCCACCTACTCGCAGCATGAGGCACACGCAGAGAGCGGCGAGAAGAAGGTTCGAAAACGCAAGTACCGTGATGATACAAGGTGCCCAAAGTCGCTGGCTTACTCTACGTGGCTGTTCACCGGTATTGGGGTCATCGTCGGACCACGCAAGCAGCCGGCCCTTTTCACGACATGTCTCAGAATCCATTACCGCTATCTATCCCATTGACGTTTTGCGATGGAAAGACAATCATCCTAGATGAGGAAAATGAGACATTTGTATTACGGCCTCAGCGATGCGATACAAAATGAATATAAATAGACCGGCTTCGAGATCTTCGTGAAACGAGTCAGCAGCTTCAAATGTTTGACTTTTGGCATTGCCTCATCCACCCTACGTAAAATGCATTCACCTCGGTGCCCCACGTCCCGGTCATGCCCGCCGACTTTGCCAGGCTAGCAGGCTCCAACATACTGACTGATCGACAATCTCCGCCCCAGAATCAACCCGCTTTCAATCTCATGACTTGAAACCACGCCATGACAAGAATTTGGGCCTCATAGCTCTTGCCGTCTTTCCGGATCGACGATGAGCGGAAAGTCAAATAAATTATGAAGAAGCCTCTTTGGCTTCACCAGAAAACCCCATACCTTGCCCTTAGCACAATTCCCCAATTGATGGAATATGTCATTCTGCTTTTGCTGAAGCTGCAGAAGGAGGATCCTGAATCTGTTCTCTATGAGACTCGGTCCACCTCGCCAATGTTTCAAAGCCAAGGCAGGTTGGCACAGTTGAAGTGGTAAAGGATAAGTCTATAGGACTCATTCCCTAGCGAGGTGGTCTGGGTTTTGAGACGCCTATTTGCTCATAAATCACAAAGACCTGCACGGCGAGTTTTTGTGAGTCTCAAAGTCAAAGATCCGGAGAAACACGAAGTCAACAACCCTGTACATCCCGTCGGGTTAGAGTCATGCAGCAACCGACGGAATACTATTGCTCCGCTGAGACTGATCCTACTTTACCTACGAAAGTAATTAACTCGAGCAGAGGTCAAGGGTACGTTGAGACTTTTGGCGAGGTTATACGGAGTAAGGTAATCAGAGAGACTTTGTCTTGGTTCAGAACGCACTGCCGCATCTCTAGAACACCAACCTAGTCGCATTGGGCATATATAAATGAGTACGTTGCAACCATCAACAGACTCTGCTCGCTATACATCAATCTCAACCAAAAATCATCATTCGTTAGCCCATTACTGCCGCAGCGTCATCATCATGCAATTCAAATTCGTCTTAGTTGCTGCGTTCGCCGCCATTGCCGCCGCCACTCCGCTCGGTGAGCACCCGTTTTCGAGCGGCGAGCTGAATGCCCGCCAATGTTGCATTAGCAAAGTCACCGGTCAGCGTTGCTGTGGCTTCTGCCGCACTGGGAATAACTGCAGATAAACAGTGTCCGTACGTATGCCTTTCTTTCCCATCGTACAACCGGTGTATGCTAACTAGTCAACTCGTAGTGAGTCCGTACGAGACATCTTTTTCCGGCCACCCCGCAGATTTATTGAGCTTCGGCATATCATCAGCCCGCTCATTGTATAAAGTCTGAAGGGAAGGCAAAGAAGTGAACGTTGTCATTGCAGACTTCTTCAATTGGCCGCCACATTAGTCAATAACATCATCAAACTCAACGCTCGGAAGAGATGTCAGCATCTGAACTATTTTTGTTTAGTAAACGTTCGGGGCGTCACGGTAGACCAGAAACAGCTGCAAAGCCGCAAATATACCTTACACACTATTCTTTAGTTCAATCTTCATGCATTGTATAAACCACTCTTACGGTGGGTGAGTGATCTGTCTGCATTTGAATAACATAACGGCAGCGGCCCATGACTAATCAAAACTTCCGTCCGTTGTGGCTGTCCTTCAACTCCAACACGATCTGATCTGTCAAGAACTCGAAGAGTCCATCGGTAGTCTCACTTCCTCTTCAATTCCAGGGATCATGGTTGGGAGAGCCATGATGGCGACCACGGAGCCCAGAATGGACGCCATCGTCCCCAAGGTGACCAAGGCCTCAGATTGAATAGAAGAATGGAGACTGATGATGAGAGGCGCGCCAACGCCGATGTTTGCGGCCATGAAAGTTATCGGAAATATGAGGAATGCGCCAATGAGATGGTACACCGTACGATCGCTCCTAGCACGCAGGTTGGCGACGGCGACACTGTAAAACATGACCTGGACGGTCTCTAGAATGCCAATAACGATGGGATATTTGAAGATGCGAAGCACATGGGGACCCCAATACTCGTACACACCACCGTTGATAACGACTATCTCGAAGAGACATGAGCTGGCGAGCTCTATGGCGGCGTATCGAAAGAAACATCGACGTGTGATGCCGCTGGTGATTTGGCGATTGAGAAAGACAGAGACGGTGCCGTAGAGAGTCGCGTAGCCGCTATAAACCCATACGGGCTGCGGTACGCCCATCGAGGTGAAAGCTGTCCACTGGCCGGGGCCGTAGAAGTAGAGCATCAGCGCATTGTCGTAGATCGGCTCAAATATACCACCGAGACCCGCGGCAAGCGCAATAGTGACGTAAAACCACGTACTCTCCTTCTTCCGGAGAAAAAGTCCGTAAATGAGTAAGGAGACCCAGATAACATAGCTGGCGATAACGACAATCAGCTGCATTGGGGCCGAAACCCGAGTGTCGATGGGCGCTTCCAGCATCATCTTAGAAATTGTGGCCGGTGAGAAAAGAGAGGAGACTTGCTCTTTGATGATAGTTGGTTGAGAAGGGAAATCATTTATGAGCTATGCGGGATTTATTTCAGGAAAAGACGGCTGTCGCAATTAATCAGCCCGTGGAATTAGCCCGAGTCGAATCATCCGGAACCGACATTTGCCTGTTGGAAGAGGTGTGTGAAGTGAATAGTCCGTCCGATAAGCAGCAGTGTTGAAGTGTCCTGATTAAATGGAATGACGAGAAATCGGCGAATTGATTACGTCATATATTCTCAGTATTACCACAATTGAGCCGCTTAGATGGGCCGAGGAGAAGAGGTTGCTACTCCTGCTAGAGGTGGTGGTCTTTACCCCCATGATCTAAGCCAGACTTGACGACGACTTACTCAGGTCTGAAGCCTGGTTAAGCCATCGATGAATCTAATACCTACACTCCTCAGATTACGCTAGAACATTGCCCCAGATTATGTATACTAGTTCCACTAGGAAACCAGGGAAGGGGTAGAGTCTGTGATTTGACGGGGGGTTCGATTATGAGGTGACAGTACGGTTCGCATTTCGTTATCCAAGACTTTGAGCTGGTACTATTCCGAATGTCCAATGCTGTTATGTACTTAGGTATGTGCTAGCTTTTGTGCGATTGGTTCAGAGGGAAATTTTGAGCTTATAAGGTTTAAATTCAATTCTTATAGAATAGGAGTTTGTTCCGGACAAAGAGCCATGTTCGACTTCCCGCCGACAATAGTTTTGATGACTTGCTACTGAACGTCTAGTCGGAAGGTCGAAGGAGATCATGCCACTTGAGAAGGAAGCCGGCCTCACGCTGAAAGAATCTGGACATTGGAGAAGAAACGATGATTACTGGGAGACCGAGCGGTGAGTTGATGGCCATTGTCGAAGCTAGAAGCTATGGCTCAGCGATTCAAAGAAACAGCTTCGCAAAACAAAACCCAGCAGGGGATCTCAGAACCTAAGACATAAACAAAGAATCTAGGATGCCATGAGTGCGAGATGTAGAAGAAAAAGGGGGGGGGGGGGGGGGTGATGTGAGTACTAGCAGAAAAAAATAGAAAAGCAGAAAAAAAAAAAAAAAAAAACAAAACAAAAAAAAAAAAAAAAGACGATAAAAAAAAAAAAAAAAAAAAAAAAAAGAGAGGGGAGGGGGGTGGGGGGGGGGGAAGGAGGGGGGGGGGGGGGGGGGGGGGGGGGGGGAATGACAGAGGTCAGCAATGAAAGATCGGCCTTGGGCATTCATAGGCAGAATTGCGGCGGTTCGTCGGTTGCTCGAACATTCATCTCCACCTATCTGGCATCAAGCGGTAAAGAGTCACCCTGTGACCAGAAGAAAGCGCACACCTAATAAGCATCCATATTAACCAGTACTTTTATCACTACTTTTATAATAAATAAATATATCAAAAATACTCTAGATCAAATAAAAGGCTTGAATATCTTTCTATGGTTTTATTTTATTTATGAAAAAGTAGGTTGTATAGAAGAGGTAGTAGAAATATGGGAGGAGGATCGGATCGAGATAGTGCTTGGTCTAAAGTGTGCGCTTTAGTTTGGTCACAGGGTGACAGTGCATTTTCCACGCTTGTTTTAGTTTCAGGAGATTTTCTATTTATATCCAAGAGGACATGAGCTGCTAATAGGGACTGAATCAAGGAGTCGGCAGTTGGGATTTCTTCTACGTCTTCGCAGCTGAGAATTCTGCCCAGACTGTGGATCAACCGGGCTTCAGCTTCGTTCGGTCAAAGCATGTATTCCCAACAACCATGACATTTGAGAATTCACAGTTCTCTCTAGATATTCTGGACTACTAGATCCATTCATTCTTAATTTTCTCTATTTCTTTCTTCCTTCCATTCTAGACATCCTCACTTTTTCGAGAGATCTGGCTGCAAGAAAGTGCGCCCACCGGCAAGAAGCCTTTTGGTAAGTAGTTTGCGTTTGAAGCTAAGCGCCTGTTGGAAGTGCGAATCCACTCTTGTTATTACACGACAGGGTTCACAACGGCACCGTAAGCTTGTCTAGCAATCTCCTGGGCGTCCTAGGCCAAAGTTAGATCGATCGTATCCACAAAGATCCGTCTTATAGAGTTAGGTGGCATAATCTGACAGCTATGAGAAAACATTTTGTGCCTGGCCGCTCTGCTCGCCCACTTCCCTCCTCGCTACATCTACTTTCCCAATGGCTGTCCAAGGTCTCTTTCCATCATGGCACCGCAACAAGGGCTTAGACTACGATGCGGTTGAAAGTGATCCGTCCTCCCGTACAGAACGGCCAAGTCTTTCTGAGGTTATAGCCTCGAAGCGCTTTCGCTGGCTGGTGGGGACAGTCATTGGAGCGCTATTGGTGGTCTTTGTTCTCGACAACTCTGTTCAGGTTTCGAGATTCCGACGCCCGACCTCGTCGTCATCCCAGGTGGCGTTGAGCCAAGTCGAGGGCGCGAAGAGCCATACAGACGTAGACTGGTCCCGGTTCGCCTATGTGCAGTATGCCACCAACACACCATATCTATGCAATTCGGTTATGGTGTTCGAGAGATTGCAGCACCTGCAAAGCAAAGCTGATCGCATCTTGCTGTACCCTTCCGAAATGCTAGATCCCCTGGCAGCAACTGGAAAGACTAAAGATGCTTCTCTGCTCATTCATGCGAGGGATACATATGGTGTGAAACTAATTCCCATCACTGTTCAACACAGAAAAGGCTTAGATCGTGAGTTGAGTCTCTTGCTAGCGCCCCACTGGTTGGGTCTATAATGTACTAATGGGTCAACTACAATAGCTACATGGGCTGAGTCTTTCACCAAGCTCCTAGCCTTCAACCAAACCCAGTATAATCGAGTCCTTTCTATTGACTCTGATTCCACACTGCTACAGAATATCGATGAGCTATTCCTATCGCCGCCCGCTACGGTCGCCGTACCGCGGGCCTACTGGCTCTACCCTGAGAAGAAGATAGTTGCTTCGCACATCATGCTCGTGCAGCCCAGCGTTGCTGAGTTTGCCCGGATAGTGGAAAAGGTGAACCATGCGGGGAAAGAAGAGTATGACATGGAAATCATAAACGACCTGTACAAAGACAGCGCCATGATTCTCCCTCACCGGCCATATGCGCTGTTGACTCGCTCTTTTGGCGGCGATCACCAAGACTACTATCTCGCAAACAGCAATGAGGTTTGGGATGCGGTAACTGTCTATAATGAGGCCAAATATCTTCACTTCTCTGATTGGCCCATGCATAAGCCCTGGTTGAAATCTTCTGATAGTTTGATCAAGGAGAGACAACCCGACTGCGTGGTCAGAGATGGGAATGAGGATTGTACTGCACGAGAGCTATGGCTCAGCTTCTACACGGACTTCAGAGCTCGTAGATCTGTGAGTATACTCGACTCCATTCAACTACTGCGACGTGATTTTGCTGACATGCCTAAAGCAAGTTTGCGGTATCAACACCTGATCCAACCTGTCAAGCATTGGGAACTTGAACGAATGTTGAGTTGAAGAACGACGGATACCCAACACAGGATATGCAGTAAATCCAAGAGCTAGGTTTTGAAGTTTCTTTCCACGCATGGAGCGTGGTGATCGAATGAAAGCCACAATTTGGCCTGGACATGACTTGTCCCTGGATGCAACGAGGCTTCCATCTTACCTCTTTTATGCAAGAAGACTGCCATAGACCTCGGGTGTGAGAAGTCGTGACATTAAAAGAGCCATTGTCAAGACCGCAGGCATTTGTCTTATCGAAGGCGCACTAAAAACAGTTAAATCCCCCTTGAGATCGATTGCTAGCCTCAAAATATCTATCCCCGACACTAGGCTACGGCTGACCTGGTCTGTGATGTATACTACCACGCATACATCGATATGCAGGGGACTAATGTCACTCGACTGTCAAATCTAATTGGTGTGGCGTTGAGCCTATGATTGTGGCGGTAGGCTGAATGTAGGAACATGGAAGGGTAATTCAGAATTGACAATAGGTAGTAAGAGGGTTTTCCAAGTCGCACTCCATATGAATCGGCTCTTCCACAGGTGGAATTCTTGAGTAATCTCCAAAGAACACAACCATACGTCGATTCTTTCTTCAAATGATGAGACTTCCGAGCATCGCAGGCGCAGTACTTCTACTGCTACTGAGGGCGGTTCCAATCGTGCACGCGCAGTCAGCATCGTCTTGTACCGCAGTTCCTGCCGTTGCCTCATGCGTATCCTCAATCACATCACTCATCAGCCGCACAGCATCCGTGTCAAAATTTTGTTCTTCGGTCTTGGAATGCCCTCTGCCGACAACCACGACTTTGGTCGGCACCGTCTCAACGACGACAACCAAAACGCAGACGTCTACGTACACTCTTGAAGAAATAGTAGGTATCATGGACTCTAAGGTTGTATATCAAATTGACGCATGTTTGTGATTGATAGGGCACTGAAACAACTACGACATCCACGTTCTCCTACACAGTATGCACTGTCATTTTCCTCATTGCTCAATTAAGAACCTTAAGAAGCTAATACGAGTTCCTTGTCACAGGAGTCAACCTATAGTTACATAGCAACTGAGACCGTGAGGCTAACATGGACAGTCGAGTAGGCTATATAGATGATAATGAGGTGTGTGCTTTTGACTGACTGCTGTAGGCGATTCGAAGTCTGTTACGTAATAGGGATAGTAATCGCACCTTATAAAGTGCCCGTTACGTACTAAATTACGTATCTATCTTAGATATCGTATATATAGACCTTTTCTTTTTATTTATTTCTATTTTAATAATTAAGCTACTTTTATTATATTCTATATACTTATTATTATATATTATAATTCGTAATAATTATAAGCTTAGTTCTTAATTAAAACCTTATATTATAATAACGTACTTATTAATACGATTTTTATAATTTTTTTAAAATAATTAACTTATTTATATTTACTTTAACCTAAACTAAATTAATTAGTTATAATAATTAAATTAAATAGTTTAACGTACTTTATATTATAAATAAGAGCATCGGGGTTTAAAAATATATTAACTTAAACGCTCTAAATTCTAATATATTTTTTAACCCCTTTATAATACTTATTTTACTTTTTAAATTTAAATAATTAATTATAACTTATAATAAAAAAGAACTATAAGCTTACTAAGCCCGTTATAAAACGTTTAAAAATAATTAAAAAAACTAAGAAATCTTTTATTAGTAATTTTTAAATATAACTCTTAATATAAACCTTTTAACTTTTTTAAATATAAATAACTTATAAAACTAAGCTAGGTTTTTTTTTATAAAACTAGTTATATTACTTATTTTATATAAATAAATTTATTCTTATATTATATTTATAAAAAGGATTTATATATTTAAAAATATTTAAAAATAATAAGAGCTTAATACTAAATATAAATAACTTATAGTTTATAAACGTAATATTATTAATATATATATTAAAATCCTTATTTAGTAGTTAATAAAATTAGTTAATATTATATTATATAAATACGTATTTTAAAAAGCTATTAAAAACGGCGCTAAGTTTAATATTTAATAAATTATTAAATATTTAAAATAGGAATTTACGCCCCTCGAATTAGTAATAAGGAATATAATTTAAAAAGAATATTAATACGCTCTTAATAAAGCGAGGACCGGAATTAACCCTTAATATTAGTATAAGGAGTAGTAATTTATTTATTTCTAAACTAAAATATATAATATTTCAAAAATTAGTAAAGAGATCGCTATACTTAATTTTTTAATTATAGTTAAGTTTAAACTTAACTTTATATAAAGCTAATATATATATAAAACTTTTAATAAATTAATAGCTTTTAAAATATATATAAAGACTTTTAAAAAGATTATATATATATTTAGCTTAGTAACTTAAGACGTATATACTAAATAATTTTTAAGTTAAAGAGGGGCTTATTTTATTTTTATTAAACACTCTAACTTAATTAATAATATAAATAATAAGAGTAACGTTATATATTTTTATAATTATATATATTTATAATACCTTATAACATATTAAAAATTAAAATAAGTATTTATAAACCGAAATATTAGTAAGTTATTAATATAAATATTAAGGAGCTATATAAAAGAAGTCCTTATTATTATTAAATTAAATAAGTAAAAATTATTTTATAATAAGCTTAAAAAAGCTAGTTAGTTAAAGAATAATAAAACCCCTAAGAAACTTAGATTTTTAAAAAGATCCTCTAACTAACTTATAATAAGCTTATTAATAAACTAGGACGAGGGCTATATAGTTATTATATTTATAAAAAGTTAGGACTTAGAAATAAACGTAATTTTTAGTATTTTTATAAATAATATTTACTCTTTTTTTTAAAATATAATAATAAATAGCTATAGAGTAATATATTTAGTTAATAATAAGAGCTTATTTAAACCTAAGAGTTATGTATTATTAAGTAATAAAAATTATATTAAATTAAGAACTATTATACTATTTATTATTATACGTAGTATTCGTATTATAAAGGGCGTTTTAAACGGATTTAAAAAAAAAGAACTTATAATTTAAAGCTCTAGAACGTTACTTATATTAAGGGATTTTATATTAATATAGTTTTAAAACCTTTCTTAAATAGAAACGTATTCTAATACTATAGTTTAAATTACACTTTATAATAAAGAACGTTTTATAAGAGTATTATTAAAAAGTAGCTTATTTAAAAAAATAATCTCGTTTTTTTTAAATATAAGCTTTTTTAATCCTATCTTTTTTTTATAAACTTTAAATATATTTTATAAAACCTAGTTAATATTATATTACTAATTAGTTATAGAAAGTTCTATTACTTATATTAACGTACTTATAAAAAGTCTAATAACGCGCTCTTTTAATACTTTAAAATAGGTTATTTCGGACCTAATACTCTTTATTAATTATTATATAAAACTTAAAATATACATATTAAACTTTTATTATAAGTTAAGTATAAAATATATATATTATTTAAAACTAAAATAGTAGTCTTAAGAGGACTATTTTTAAAAAGAGCTTTATAGTTATAGTACTATATATACTAAGATCTCTTTTATTTCGAACTATTTTTTAATAAATAATAATATATATTTATAGTTTTTAATAAATATAATAAGTAGCTTAGGGAGTTTTTTTTAAAAATTAAAATAAAAGAGGAAGTACTTTTCGTATTATAGAGCCTCGAAGTAGCGATTTAATATTAAAAAAGGACTTTAATTTACTTTTTTAAAAATAATAATAAAACCGCTCTTTTAATTATAAATATTATATATATATATAAAACGTAATATAGCGAGCTAGGAATTAAAATAGAACTTTTATTTTTATATATAAAAAAACTCGTAAGTAATATTAAAAGAATAGGTTAACTCGTAATTATTAAAACTTATAAAATATACTTTTTTATAAACCTCTTTACGAATTTATAAAATAAAATAGTATTAGTAATAATTTTTATTTATAATATTACTTTATAAGAGGCTAATAAAAAAGATTTACTTATTATAATAAAAATTAATTAGTAAAAGCAGTATTAACGTTAATAATAAATAGGTTATTAAGTATAAGATTTTAAACTAGTTACTTTATATTTCGGTAACCTCTACGTATATAGTTACTAAGTATACCCTTTTTATAAAGATTATAAAAAAGGTATATATTAAAAAGAGTTTAAAATACTTTTTTATAAGTATATAAAATACTTAATTAAATATATATTAAAAACGTATAACTTATATAAAGTTTAAGTACCCGCGCTTAAGTAAGTATTTATTATAAAGAATATTAAGTTTAATAAAAAAGTCTTTTATAATCTTATATATAAAGAATAAGCTATCGTAAATAAGTAAATAAATTTAATAATTTAAAAAATATAAGAACTTTTTAATATTAATAATAAATTAGTTTAAGTACTTAAAAAAGTAGATCTAAATTTTAAAAATATTAGTACTTAAAATAACTTTATAATTAAAGATAGTATTATTATTAAATTTTTAACTATTTAAGACGCTAAGTAATTAATAAACGTATTTTAGGGTACGGTTAATAAAGCTAAAGAGGCTAATATAGTCTTATTATTATTACTAACCCCTAAAATAACCCCCTTATATAAGCTTAAAAATAGGAGTAAAAAAAGGAATATAATAACTAAGTTATAAACGGCTCTATATAGTTTATAATCCTCTTTATAAGCACTTATATATATTATAAAAGTTCTTAAGTTTTTAATTTTTAATAATTCTTAATAAAATATTAAAATACGTAGTAAATAAAGTACTAATTATAAAAAAGTAATTCTTAATACTAAAATTAACGTTAATAAAGAACCTTTATAATAAACCTCTATTATTATATAAAAATAAAGTTTATAAAAACTACTTTATTAATTACTAAATAAAGCTCCGTTAGGTCCTAAATATTTAAACTAGGCCCGTAGACCT